TTCAAAACAGCCCCGTTCCTTAATTTATTCCTAAAATTCGACTCATTTCACTTTTATTTAGTGAAATCGACCTAGTTTCTAACCACATCAGTATCATGGCCAAAAAGTGGGTTGTTCAAAAAAAAAAAAAATCTAATTAGTCGGGGTTGGTAACCCGACTAATTAGAAGCAGATCTAAGGGTTGCCAACCAAAATGGTTAGGTTGCCAACCCCGACTATTTGGGGGACTAATTTCAAGTCTCTGCCAAATAGTCGAGGTTGTCAACCCCTGCTATTTGGGAACCGGCCAATTGGAGCTTGAAATTGGCCAATTATGACCAATTTAGCACGAAAAAAATTGTTAGGGTTGTCAAACCCGACAATTTTGGTTGGATTTGGCAATCCTGCTAATTTTTTGCAAAGACTTGAATTGGGATATCGAGAACATACAACGTGGTTTTTTTTAGAAATCGACCCAGTTTCTGGCCATGAAGCTGACGTGGCAGAAACTGGGTCGATTTCGCTAATAGAAAAGCGATGAGGTCGATTTTTGTGATAAAATGTGGTAGTGAGTATATTGAAAATTTCTTCTAATTTTAACTATTAAATTTACAAAACAATTGCAGATGTACATAAGAGTAGAAAACTTATTTCAAATATCTACTTTTTAATGTAAAACTCTTTTGAAGTTGAAAGAACCTAATTTCACCAATCTACTGTTGAAGGGAAAACCATGAAACTTTGAAATTCATTTTCCTGTTCTACTTGAAATGCAAAATAAAATTACATGAAAAGAAGATGTATGTCTCTATAGGGTTTTTTCTATATTAGTCTCCCAGAGTAGTTAGATGATGGGGATATTATGTCGTCTTTTTCATCTTTTGGTACCATAACAACAGCTATACTCATGCATTCAAGGCCAAACCCTAAAAAGAAGGTCGTCCGCGTGAGCACAAATTAGAATTTTTTTAAGCAATGTCATACTTAAATCCACTGATTTTGAATCTTATTTTGGTGAATTTTCATGTTGATTCGGTTGATTTGATGATTTTGTAATCTTTCATTTTTGGTTAACAACTGTCCTATTGTGGTTAATAATTTAAATGATGAATATAACAAATGCACTAATTTCATAACACTTCAAACTATTTGGGGACTAATTTCAAATATGAAAGACTTGGGGGACTGATTTCAAATATAAAAGATTTGGAAAGATTTATAGGGAACTAATTTTAAATATGAAAGATTGGGGGCTAATTTGAAATATGATAAATTTAGGGGACCACTATGGAAAAAACAATACCATAAATTGTAAGCTATACTATAGATATGTTTCTAAAAAGCTTTTTTTAGGTGAGGGGGTAGAGGATATGACCATCTCTGGCACCCTAGCCTTGCCAATGTCATGAACCTTCTGTTATTCTTTGTTTTCTTTTGCTTTTTTTGTTTTTATCTCTTTATTTTCACTGTGCAAGGGTACAAGATGGAGTTAATTTTTTTAATATATGTTAGGTAATGTTTTTAATTTATGTGATCAAAATTTTCATAATTAATTCAAATTTTATATTAACTGGCTGATTACATGTTCAACATCTACTTTTAACTGACTTTTTACATTTGGGTACCTTGTGGTATGCTATAGGTACACACGGTGCCCTAATATTAGCTATCTACACGAGCAACCCTGATTTAATTACTGAATGTTATTGCAATGTGACCCAATATCTAAATGGTTACATAGTTCTTTTTGCCATTTTGAAAGAAGTACAATCAATAATTTCAGGGTTAGTCATGTTCTATGTTGACCCATTGACCACCCGTGTAATGACACCATACCACAATGTATTGGCTCTAACCCACAATCAACAATTCTAGATAACTAGTGACACCTTAAATTTAAATCCAAAATCTTAGTCTATTTCTGCAATTAAGGACTCCATGCATTTGTTGATATATAGACATCCAAATACCAGCGCAATTTCCTTTTGGAAAATGAAGAAATATTCGTGAACAAATTGGGACGATAAGGTTCCAACTTCTCTTAAATTAAATATGCTCCAAACTAAGCTATAATGTAAGTATAAACCATGGGTAATCATATATAAAGATAGATAAATCTTTTGTTTAGAGATTACTTGTCCTAGATCTATGGAAAGATTGTCACACATTTGTTCATCTTCGAACAACGGCCGAAGGACACAACATTAGAACGGTGAGAAACCCCTGCATGTCACCCCACACTATCGCGTATATCACAAACTTAAGAGGAAGAAGATGACAACTATCATATTTTCTATATTAATTTATCTTGCTTACTGCATATGTATTTATAGGGAATGAATACACTAAACCCTAATTTTAGTCCAACTAAGATTAGTGCGTGGGTCCCACAAAAATCTAACTTTAATAGAGTTGGATTAGTCCACTTATTTAGGCGGACCATGTACAGAATCAACATACTCTCACTCGCACAAATGAGTGGGTGGCTTTCATAGCTCCATGAGCTGATTCCCTGAGTCGTCGACTTCCCTAATCAATTTTTCTAGATTCTTCTTACTCGTCAAGTATATGTCTATACATTGTTAGTGCAGCGTGGAGTGTTGAGAACCTGGATGCGAGTCGCCTTGCAGCCAGATTCATTAGGATCAACACATGGATCTCTCTATGAACGAAAATACAATTCCTAAGAACAAAAACACAAATAAAAAGTGTTAAGTATGAAAATTTGATTTTTCAGTCTGAAAAATTAGCTGATTTTATTATTATTTTGATTATATTTATCTAATTAGGTTTGGATTTAAATTCTTGATTATCTTAATATTATTTCTAAAGACAAAAACCGATAAGTTAAGGGAAATGGAAAAAAAGACCGAAGTAAAATCCATTGCTTATCTTTCGCTCTCCTTCGACATCTCATCGGTCTCTTCTTCGAGCTATTCCTTTGACATCAATATCGAGTGATCTTCTTTTTCTTAACCGCTAATATCAGAGTTCTTTTTTCTCACATCTTTCCTTCAACATCAACCCTAAACATCATAAGTTATTCACTTTTTTATATGTTGAGACAATAGAATTTTTTTAGTCTGTTTAGATTTTATTTATGATATTTATATTACACATGCACACCATCCGATATGGTAATCTGATATTTTTTCATGTCCTCCGATATATTTCCGATTTTCACTATCCGACATGAATTTTAGCTATCCGACATAAACCCGACATCTGACATTTAAAACATTGGTTCGGCCTACAGTGGGCAAGAGCTACCCCTTACAAGTTGATCCCATGTCCCAAAACCTCATGCGAGGTTTTAAATATCGGCTGATAATTCAATATTATCCCCGAGTTATCAGTTTTGGAAGCTTTCCGATAGAATAAGTTGGTATTTAAATCAATTATCATTTTTTGAGGTTTATCGGCGATAATGCGGTGATAAATGTGATTATCAGCCGATATTAGTGGCTCTAAAAATCAGAATTATCCGGCCACACTATTGGGTTGTGATTTTAGGTAATGGGCAGTTTTTGAGTGAACTTGAAACCCAACCCGACCCATTCTTTACAATAAAACTTAAACCCGATTTTGTAGCCCTAATCATTCGTTCTCTCTCCCCTCATTTGTACGGTTGTACCCACTGTCTTAATCTTCGTTCCTCTTTGGACTCAGTCGACCTTAGCACTCGCCTACGCCCACTTCGACACTCGCCTTCGCTCCTATTCGGACTCCACTGACCTCAACGCTATCGACTTCGACCATTCGACACTGCTCTCTCATCGACGTTAATTTTATCAACTTGACAATTTCGACTGATGCTGAGCTCTTTCCATCAACGTCATCATCAACTGATCGACTCGACAACGTCGACCGACACTGAGCTCTCCATCGATGTCGAGCTCTCTCTATCGATGCTGAGCTCTCTTTATCGACGCCATCATCAACTGTGACTTCGACAGTTCGACTTGGACTCCCCATCGATGCCACGCCCTCAACACAACTTCTGAAGTTCTAGCAACTGGTGATATTCACTATTCAGTTGATTTTTTCTCTGGTTATTTAGTGAAGGTTGAGAGAATGATAGAGGGGAATATGGTTAGATTACAATTTGGGGTATTATATTATATATGTACATCATACGATATATCACTACGATAAATAGTACTTATCCCCGATATATTGCCTATTTCTGCTATCCGATAAGGATTTTGGCCGTCCGATAAATCCCCGATAACCGATATTTAAATCCTTAGTTATCGGAAACATATCGGATGATCAAAATTTATATCGAATCCCGGTTACTGGGGATATATCGAGGTTAAGTAGTAAAAATTAGAATGACATCGAATAGTGAGCATATAGAGTATAATGTCCTAAAATGTAATCTAAGCGCTTTTAATAAAATATCGAGAGAGGGTCTTCGAGTGTGATTGTTTGCAAAGGTCTTCGAGTAAGAAATTTGCGAGCTACTTGGGGTAGAGAACAATGGAGGGGGAGAGAGAGTCACATGATGATTGGATGTGGAATAGAATCGAATGACACTGTTTGTGTTTAGTGGATGCGGGTCTGTTATAGAAAAAACATGGTTCATCTCCATATCCAAATCAGCTCACTTAGAATCTAAATTGTAGATAATCATGCGATTTTTAACCCACGATAAATTGGCTGCTTTATTAGATATACACCGATATACGGAAAAATTGGCCAAAAACGATATGCAATGATTTTTTGAAAAAATTGTATTGGCCAAGGGCCAAAGCCTATATATTAACGATAAATTGATAAGGTCGGCCTATTTTTAAAACACCGCTCTCATTTATCACGCTATAGAAAAATATTGACTGATTCAAGTCCTACATATTGGTATTATATTGCTCTTTGATTAGTAAAATGTTACCATACACGTTGGAATTTTAAAAATAACATTATATACCATCTTAATATTCTACCTGACTTAGCACAAAAGGCAGGTGGGTCATTAAGAATCACTTCCAAAAAGCACTAACACTATTTCTCCTTTGCAGAAGTTTGCCTAGTAGGACCGATTTCTTGATTGACCGAGGGAAAAAGTCCTGTCAAGCTGAATCGGGAGAATTGGTTTCTTGATTGACAGAGGTACAGTCATAAAGCTTCTGTTGACCTCTCTTATGCATTAACGTACATGTCACTACTAATAAAACTTGAACTTTTGACATCTGAAGATACTGGCTAATACTGGCTAATCGAAGAGGTAGCTGAAGAGACAATGTTGCTATGGTCACCTATCACTGGTATGGAACATCATTCCCTTGGTTGATGCATTTGTTGGTCAAGATAAACTGTTCTTAGACTGGTAGAGAATAGTTTTTTGCATGTCATATCAGATCTTAAGATACACGTTTCATATTGTGAACTGGGAGATGTTTCCTGAAATTGTATTACTTTTTCTTTTGTAGTTCCTGATTTTCTTGTTACGATTCAAGTTGCAAGGATACGGGTAGGATTGCTTGTATGAGACGTGACAAAATTGTAAAATGGAGGGTACAGGGAAATGGCTGAAATGTATTGCCTGAAATCATAGTTTTGAACTAGATAGGCAAGGACCCTTTGAAATTGTTGGTTTGAATTAAGTATGTGCTGAGACGGACCCTATCCTTGTCGAACAAATTTCACATAGTGGCAGTGAAGCATAAGATATACATCTAAGAAGTGTATGACGAGTGTTTTAAATTAAAACATGTATTATATAACTTAGTAGAATTCTGATAAATATATTAATATTTTTATGGATTCTTCAAGAAGTGTCAAATGTCAATGTCTGGCACGTGAGGGATTCGCTGGGCAGGGGTACGACTTCATGATAGAAGTACCTATGCAACATAGGTTACAATATTAAGATGTTTGAACTGTATAGAATAAATTAAAATCTAATCAGTTTGAAGTTATCGCCTTTCATGGTTTACCTTTGTAAAGTCAGATTTTGCAGTATTCGGAACTTCCTACTGATAAGAGATGGTTCCTGTGCCTTGTGCAGGTTTTTGGCTTGTGGAAAGGTCAGGAAAATAACTCATCCTCTTCTAGGAAATAATAGGTCCAATTATTCTAGATTACATGATCATGGAAAACATTCTGTCGCTGGATTCCCATCCACATGCCAGACATCATCTCAGCAAAAGTTTTCTCAGGAAGGAAATGCCTTATTTACAATTAAAACCATGGCACAGCTTTCTTCAGCCCACAGTTCAATTGCATATCAACCCCAGCTTGCTTGGAGAAGACTTTCTTTGATATCCTCATGCAGAGGATATGCCGCTTCAGTTTTCAGGAGTGTCAAATTCTCTGCTTTAGCAAGTGAATCAAGATCTTCCAGATTACATGAGTATGGAAGGCATTCTGATTTTCGTCTCAGGTGCAGAGCATTTTTACATTCTAAAGCTTTTTGGGGAGGGAAGACAACGTATGGAGCTAAGGAAAATCTGTACAAGAGTTTTTCTTTTAAGCAGTTCTCTTGTTCTTCAGTCAATTGTTCAGCAGCATATAGAGCCCAATTTGCTTGGAAAAGCTTTTCTAAAATACGCTCATATAGAGGTCAGGTCTCTCCTACAGTGAACAAGATTACATATGCCATGAGCTTGGCTTTCACTAGATTTCATATGGTTCCGAGTGTTCTAGCATTTTTTGGAGGAGCATGTTCCAAGGTTGCTTGGGCAGATGGAGATTACTTTTCAACAGGGAACAATTTGTACACACAAGCACAAGATGGCCATATTTATGTCACTTATTTGATATTTTCAGTGTTGGAGTTCTTCATTTTGTTGTTAAGAGCAGTTTATTTGGCATTTTTATTCTCGCCGATCATAGTAATGGCTCCATTCGCAGACACTTTAGGGATTGAGTACAGGAAGACATGGCTTCGACTTGTTCATCGTACTCTAGAAAAAGCTGGGCCTGCATTTATCAAATGGGGTCAGTGGGCAGCTACACGGCCAGACCTGTTCCCTGGAGATCTTTGTACTGAGTTAACAAAGCTCCATTCTAAGGCCCCTGCTCACAGCTTTGCTTACACTAAAAAGACAGTTGAGAAAGCATTTGGTCGTAAAATTTCTGATATTTTTGAGGACTTTGAGGAGGAACCTTTGGCATCTGGAAGTGTTGCACAAGTTCATCGAGCTTCTCTTCGATTTCGATATCCGGGTCAACGGACAAAACATATGGTTGTTGCTGTAAAAGTTAGACATCCAGGTGTTGGTGAATCAATTAAGGGGGATTTTACAATCATCAATACGGTTGCCAAAATCTCAAAGTTTATCCCAACATTAAAGTGGCTGCGCTTAGATGAAAGTGTACAACAATTTGCTGTTTTCATGATGTCTCAGGTTGATCTTGCAAGGGAAGCTGCCCACCTGAGTCGTTTTATTTACAATTTCCGCAGCTGGAGGGACGTTTCTTTTCCTAAGCCTCTTTATCCACTTGTTCATCCTACTGTTCTAGTGGAGACATATGAACATGGAGAAAGCGTTTCTCACTATGTTGATGAGCTTGGAGGAAATGATCGACTTAAAAGTGCTCTTGCTCATATTGGTACTCATGCACTCCTGAAGATGCTCCTGGTATGATTTTGTTTATTTTTGCATGTAATTATTTTTTATTGTCAACTGTAATTTAAAGTATATCTGCAGAAGTAAGCAGAATATTATTATTCGACGTTGAGTTTCCAATTAGCAGTTTAGTCTGGCTTTGTTGTGAAAATCAAGTTTGCAATATTGAACAAAAACTTGAACTGTTGGTTTTAACAGAAGTTTACCAATAAACTCATGAAACTTTTACTATATTCCTAGTATTTCATCATTTTCAGTTCCTGTCTCGTACCTTTCAATGCATCTGTTGATATGTACTCTTCAACATGATACTTCTGTAGTTTGCAAGTATGTATCACAGAATGAAATGATTTTTCACTTGGTTTACTGTTTTCTTTCTGTTTGTATTAGATTTAGAATAAACTAGTTTCTCTGTCACTTATGATTTGTAGATGCATTTCTTTTCCTTCAGGTCGACAATTTTATCCACGCAGATATGCATCCTGGCAACATTCTTGTCCGAGCCCCACGATCCAAACATCCAAATAAAAGGCTTTTCAAGTCAAGACCACATGTTGTATTCCTTGATGTAGGCATGACAGCAGAGCTTTCAAGTAGTGATCGTGTGAATTTGCTAGAGTTCTTTAAGGCTGTTGCTCTTCGAGATGGCCGTACTGCTGCTAACTGCACATTGAGGTTATCTAAGCAACAGAACTGCCCAAATCCAAAGGCTTTTATTGAGGTACTGTTGTGCTTTTAAGTTACATAGTTGTATGAAGTACTGTTTTTGTGTGAAATTACAATCTAGTGGTATGAATTGCCCATTTTTACTTTTGCTGGCATCCATGTTAGTCTTCCTTGTTGCTGTCTTGCACTAGCCTCATGTCTATAGGAAATCGATGCTTGTGCCTTATATTTGCTATAAATCTTTGCCAACAATCTAAAAGCCAGCCTCTTAAAATTCACTTATCATTTATGCAATAGTGGAGTTCTGTAAGGGATGTGGTGAGCTGAGGCTGCTTATAAATGGAGATGAGAATCAATGGGCTCTCGCTTAGGACTGTTGTTGTTATGTTTAAAGGATGAATTAAGTACAATTAGAGTTTAAGGCTTTTTTAAAAAGTACATGAGACATTTAGCTATGATACAGATACAAAAAAATAACTATACAACTGTTAAATTCTGTATTCGGAATTACGGATGCATCGCAGGTTGATTTAGCACAGTACAGTACAAAAATCAACTAAAACATACCAGTCAGATTTCGTAGTAGTAAAATTTTGATGTGAGATAAATCATTATTTGCATGAAAAATCATGTGTTTTAGATACTCTGGAAAAGTAAATCTGATATGAATCAACAAAGTACCTATTCAATTATTTTATATGGATGTGTCTATTCCATGGAGCACCTCCTTCATGGTCAATTGTATAGTATACCATCTTATTGAAATACAATAGAAGGAAACTTATTTACTAACAAAAACTAGAGAAGACGAGCAAGATTGACCTGTGTGATGCTACGACATTAGTTGAATAAAGTCATAAAAAATAATAATTTGAGAATTTGGTTTACATACATCGTACACGTAACCACTTATAAAAAATAGCAAATTATACTAAATACTCAATAACTTACAACATATACCAATTGTTGAAATACAAAATGATTTTAAAATTAATTTAATTAACTATTATAGGTCTAAGAGTGATTTTGGAAGTGGGTGGGTTTAAAGTAGGGATGTCAAATGGGTGGTTTTAGTTGGGTCTTGGTTGGATCATAAATGGGTGGTTTTAGTTGGGTCTTGGTTGGATCATAAATGGGTGGACATATTTATGACCACTTGACCATTTATGACCCATTTAGCATTTGCTAAATGGGTCACTTCTCATCCACACATTTACTAAATGGGTGGTTCATGGGTGACCCAATAACCCATTTAGTTATGATGCTTTTATATATATGTAAGTTTCAGAGATCTATTTGCAAAAATTTAGGGGTTTTCTGTAAATTTTCAGGGGGTTTTTTGCAAATTTTCAGGGGTTTTTTTGCAAATTTTCAGGGGGTTTCTGTAAACTTGTAGGGCTTTCTGCAGACTTTTAAGGGGTTTTCTGCAGACATTTTGGGAGTTTTCTGTAAACTTTTCAGGGGCTTAAAACTGAGAAACAAATACTAGAAATAAATGAAGAATTTTGCCTATTTTTACAAGTTTCTTATCCACAACAACAGCAAACAGATATTATGACGTGCGTTAACATGTAGATATATGCACATATAAGTTTCCCAGGACATTTCGAACGGAAACCTCACTCTCTTGCATCTCTCGTAAGTCACATACATATATCAAACACGCTTGCTGGAGCATCCACTGTTGCCGTTCCATATAAGTACAAACACATAAAAAATTTATATTATAAAAATATACACAAAACTTGTAAAAGACGACGGTGACAACTTCCCCTGTTACGTGTTTAGGATTGTTAGTTAAAGAAAATGTACATTTCCCTAAACTAAGCCAGTATATTCCCATATATCTTCTGCTGTCTACTCCTATTATGTAACACTGCTCACATCAACTTTAAATCTTAGGAGCAAAAAATAAATCATGACACAAGAATCATCCAAACCGTTTCTAACTCTTCGATGAAAAATGAGCAAAAAGATGGGTAGCCTTCTCGAGATAAAGCTAATATTTTGTTTTGCAAGATCCATTGCTCATCAATGTAATGTGTAGTAAGAGAATCTGATGTTGAAGAGGTCCACAAGTCTGTAGTTAGACTGATTCTGCTAGGGACTAGATTCAAAGTTTGTTTAAGAATTTTTTTTCTTTCTTGTACAACTTAAGCAAATCAGCTTTAGTGTTGTTTCTCGAGATATGCTTGACTTCAGGATTTAAAAATGTATGTAATTCGCGTATCCCTCAATGTTCCACAAAACAGAATGAATAACCATGCAATGCAATGACCTTAGCCAACATATCTCTGTAATTATCTTGATCTAATGGCGTAATTTTTCACGATGAATCAGCCTCATCTATATCCCGTTTTGGACAAGAATGAATATGCCTCAACATATTTATTGTACCATGACCAACTAACATAAACTTGGTCATATTTTTTGCACTGAACTTTAGCTTTCCCATCACTATCAACAAGCAACTCAGTAAAATACTCCCAAACTTTTGATTTTGCTCTTCTTTTACGTTTAGATATAGTTTCATTATCAGATTCACTACCATCATCGCATGCAGTTATTCATTCAAAGACATGATTGAATGATTCTGCTGATGATAACTAGGGACAAAAAATTGCAGGTAAGAAATCTACATGCTAAAAATAGCGACGAGAAAATAATAATAGTAATAACAATTGGTGAATTTTTAAAAATAAATCCCCAAATGTTTCCAAAAATAAGTGCAGGAATCGGTTGGGTCTGAATAAATTAAAAAGGAAAAGTTACACAATCACAGCACAACAGTAACCAAGCTTCTAATACTCGGTGAATTAAAACCACAGATCAAACAAATCCCAAATTTGGGATTCTCTGTGACAGAAACAGATTGCATATGGCTCAACATGATAAACTGGTAAGAAAAAAAGATCAAAACTTAAAAAAATCACAACAAAAAATCCCAAGGTCCTTTGGAAAACAAAATTGTGTTCAGGGCCCTTCTATGAAGTTAGGAGATCATATGACCAGTGCCTGGTGTCGACTTTGGAGCTGGTGCTTTCGCTAATAAGAAATTTCTAATTGTTCTGCTGTAATATTATAATTCAATTGATACTGTATAATGAGTGCGCTGATTTAGAACTGGTTGTATGTTTCCGTCTCCTTCCTCTTATGATCCTTCTTCACAAAGCCCCCCCTCTAATGGGATTTTTTTGTATCGCCTTGATTTTTTCTTTTTTTACAGGTCATTGTATGGACAAAGAAAGACCCGAGTCAAGTATATCACAGATCAAACAATTGTGATTCCATCTCAAAGAAACTATCAATTACACCATAATTTCATAAAACAACACAACCCTTAATTTTCCAATTCATCCCGAACCCTAATCAACCAAAAACTAACCCTAAACTTAACAATCGATCAATCAATCACCGTCATTGTTCCTTATCGAACATTAAATCGCATTTAGAAACAATTAGATCAAAAACCAGAATCAAAACTTACGTACTTCGCCTCTTGATTGGCTCTGAATTCGTTTTCCAAAGTTGTCGATTGTCTTCGTCGTCGACTTAGTCAAAGGCTTCGTCGCCGATCACCGCTGTCGAATTTCGTGAAAGGGATCGGGATTAAGGGTTTGAAGAGGGAGAGCGGCGGATGAGAAAATTTTCGATTTGGATTGAGAAGAGAACTCAGATCTGAAACTTATTTGTTACCTGAGTAAGTTTGGGTGGGTTATGGGTGGGTCAAGACCCGCCCATCTAATACCCATTTAACCTCTATAGAAATAGTTACCCACCCATTTAGGCCCATTTAGATAAATGGGTTGGTTTGGATGTATCTCATATTGGATGGATCTGGGTGGGTTATTAGGTTTGGATGAGTGGGTTATTGGGTTTGGACCAGAATTGTCATCCCTAGTTTAAAGTAAATGGAGGTAAACTTTGGTTTATAGACAAATAACTCTTTTTTTGAAGTTGATGATTTAAATAAAATTAAGTGTTGGTTAAAATTTGAGTTTATAGAGAAAAGATTCACCTATAGTTTGCGATGATCCAACACTAGTGTGAAAAAAGCCAGTAAATTAATAGTTTAAACATTTTGTTTAAAAATACACCGCATGTGTAATCAATTGGAATAAAAATATAGCTATTTTCCACTATGTAGGAACTTACATCGTATACTAAGCTATTGTAATACAAATGAATTTAAAATCAATTTTTGGGAGCGTCGTAGTATAGCAACTTACATTGGATACTAATTTGTTGAAATACACATGGATTTAAAATTAATTTTGTGGTGTGTAAAGTGTACGATTGATTTTGGAAGCCGGGGTGTGTTTAAAAATAAATAGAGGTAAAGCTTTGGGTTCATAGGCAAAAACCCTTTTAAGAAGTGGACGAGTTTAAAAATAAGTAGGGACAAAAGTTTGGTTATAGACAAAAGACTCTGTATGTGTAGAATCAATAATAATTTAGGAAAAATTTTGGGTTATATTGGCAAGAACCCTAGTAAAACTTGAAAGTGGTGAATTCAAAAATCATAAGGGTGAGGCTTTGGGTTTATAGAGAAAAACATAACGTATGGAATTTGTTGGGTTTAAAACTTAATGGGGTTAAATATTTGTGTTTAAAAAAATCTAAATAAAACTTTTGATTTATAGGTGAAACACTGTATGGAAGTGGGAGGGCTAAGAAATAAATTAGGATTAAAATTTGGGTTTGCAGGTAAAATACCTCTAGTTAATCTTTAAAAGTTGATGGGCTTATAATTAATAGAGATAAAACTTTGGGTTTATAGGTAAAAAACTAAACTATGGTAGTGGGAGGGGTTAAAATTCAATGACGGCTAAAATTAAAAAACAAAAATTACAAAACTTTGGTGCAAATAAGGATCGAACTAGGTATAACTGGATTTCATCTTAGTGATATTCCGTTAGGACAAACTGTCATTTAGTTAAGGCCTGTCATAATTTTATATATATAAATAAAGGAAATGGGATGAACAGTGCTTACTCTAGCCAAGAACTTAGCTAGGCACTTCTCATCCCAACTAACTATAGCGTGTGTGTATAT